ACCGTTATGGTCGAAGTAGTATAAATAGAAGTCTTAGTACTAGGATTTCGTGTGTCATATCTATTGTACAAAATTCAGTAAACATTCAAAATACCACATGGCTAGGGAAACGAATGCTCGAACAATGTACGTATGATAACACCAAACATTTATGATTCAGTAAAAACTCTTTATCCTTTCCAGTTTATCTTTTATCTTCATGCTTTTGTCATTCAAATACCTTTTCATTCAAAGTCATTTACTGATTTCTTGCATTTAAACGCTTTCCTTCTATTTCGAATCCTTTACATTTCAGAAACTCTTTTACAATCTCATGCTTTTATATTCATGCTTTTTACATTAAAGTCTTCATATTTCAAATTCACTTACTTGTTTCTGCACGTAAACATTTCTTTGCAATCAAATCTTTATTCATTCAATTCAGTTTCGTATATCTTTATTTGATCATGTCATTAGACCCTTTTAATATGGTAATCGAAGTGAATTGAACGCCTACAAAACATTCCAAATACAAATCCTAACTATGAATATCAGTTTTGCAATTAGAGTTATCCAAACGACCAATACCCCATAGGATCAATCTAGTCGATCCTGCAAGTTACCAGAGAGATTAAATAACAGTCATTAAGATTATTTGATAGTTTGGAGGACTAGCGGTTGTTTACCAGAAATCACTGTAAACAATGTCGCCCATGCGTTCTTCAGACCAAAGGGCATTACGTTGTAGTAATAGTTGCCCGAGCTGGTCATGAAACCAATGCAATGCTTGTCGCTTACGGCCATTGGGATTTGGTTATAGCCTGAATATGCATCCATGAATGACAATATTTTGTAACCGGTCGAGTTGTCGACCATCATGTCTATGTTTGGTAAAGGAAAAGCATCTTTCGGGCATGCCCAATTGAGGTCGGTATAATCAACACACATTCGCCATTTTCCATTATTCTTTTTTACTAATACAACGTTTGACAGCCAGGTTGAATACCGGGCTTCAGAAATAAATTTTGCCTCTAAGTGGTCTTTTACATCTTTTTTAGTAGCCTTCGTTTTCTCTGGAGACTGCCTACGTCTACGTTGTACTATCGCCCCTAGCGGCTGGATCTATGGCGAGATGGTGACAGGCGACCTCGGGGTTAAGTCTGGGCATCTCTGTGGCGCTCCACGCGAACAAGTCAGCATTCTCGCGCAAGCAGGCTTTAATCTGCTTCCTTTCCAGGTCGGGGAGGTCTGTACCGATCTTTACTCCTTTGCTTGAGTCCTCGCCGAGGGGGACGAGCTCGAAGTCCCCGTCCGGAATTGGTCAGAGGGGGATTTGCTCGCCGCTGGAAGGCTCATCCTGGTCGAAGCGGGTGTCCAAGGCTATAGAGTCGACCTTTTGGGGAGCTCTCTGTTCTTTTGCCTTGATGGGCTCTGTCTTCTTGGGCTCTGGTCGTGTCGTTGTCGGTCTCTTGGCGGGCCTTGCCCCAGTGTCGACCGTGTCGCGTCCCTTGGATGCCGCGTTGAAACACCTTCGAGTGGAGGCCAGGTCCCCTTGGATGGTGGCGACTCGTGCCCTCTTGGTGTAAAACTTCATCTTCAAGTGGACGGTAGAGGGTACTGCGGTCAGTTCCGCCAGTGTTGGTCTTCCCAGGTTGCAGTTGTAGAGGGACGGGAAGTCGATAACGAGGAAGCGCACCTTGACCTACCTCGTCGCCGTGTCCTCGCCAAAGGTAACCATGAGCTCGACGTATCCCCAAGGTTTGGAGGTCAAGCCGTTGAAGCCCTGTAGGTCCGACCCCACATAAGGTGAGAGGTGTGAGTCGTCGAACTGCAGGGTTCAGAATAGTTGACTGTACATTACGTCGACAGAACTTCCTTCGTCAGCGAGAATGCGGTGTACGTTAAAATTAGCCATTCTCGCTCTTATTAGCAGAGGAATGACCGTGTTGGGGGCTCCTCTGGGGAGCTCTTCGAGGTAAAAGGTGATAGGCTCCGACCTACCTATCACTCTTTCAAAAGTCACCGTCTGAGCAGGTGCAAAGTCGACCAGTTCATCCAGCTTCCTCTTGGCCGAATTTATGGTCAGGTCGTTGAATCCTCCACCATTGATGACCATGGCGGAGGGAAAGTGCTCCCACCTGCTGTGTGTTGACAACGATTCTTGCAAGGGCTCGGGGACGTAGAAGTCCTCAGGTCTTGTGACGGAGAAGGCGGTCTGGATGGGGACCGACTCGTCAGATGGTCGGGCATCCTCCTCCGGCTCTCTTGTCTCTCGGGAGTCGCGACGTGGAGCGTCGTTCCACCGATATTGGGCGAGTCTCCCCCCTTTTATGAGGGTCTCGATGGCGTCCTTGAGGTGGATGCAGTCCTCCGTCAGATGACCATGGCTTCTATGGTACTGACAGTATTTGCTATTGTCCACCCCGGGCTTGGCCGAAGCTGGTCGAGGGCGCTTGACGCCTCCATCTTTGAAATACGTGCTGGCACACTCCGCCAAGATGCGCTCGCGGGAAGCCGTGAGCGGAGTGTATTCTGTGAAACGCCCCGAGGGTACTCTCTGTTCTCGGATTTCTCAGGGTTTGTCATCCTTTCTTTTCTCTCCGGCTCGTCGAGGAGGAGCGGTCTTTTGGCGCGGGTTGCTGCTGGATCCGCGAGTTCTGGGATCACGGGCTCTGTTGGCCGCTTCCCTTTCCTCGTAATCCATATAGGCCCTGGCCTTCTCGAGGAGAGCATTGAGCGTTCGGGGCGGTTCGATGCCCACTGCTTTTCTGAACTCAGTTCCGGGGAGGAGTCCCCTCTCCAGCAAGTATCTTTTCATGTGGTCCGCGCAGGGGACCTGGATGGCTTCCCGATTGAAGCGGTTGATGAATTCTCTCAGGGTTTCATCCTGCCTCTAGATGATAGCCTCGAGCGCCGCTTCGGCCTTTGGATGTCGTCGCGACGCGGTGAACGAGCTTATGAATTGATTTTTCAAGTTTCTCCACGAGGTGATTGACCTTGGGGCAAGACCCTTGTACCAATCCTTTGCTGCTTTCCTGAGGGTTGTGGGGAACAACCGGCATTTGATGGGCCCTCCAACGTTATGGTAGTGCAGCATAGCTTCGAACCCATCTATATGGTCGACTGGATCGGCAACTCCGTCGTATTCCTTCAGGTGAGGGGGGCTTCTCCATGCCCGGGGGGATTGGAGCCTCCATGATGGCTTGTGATAGGGGACCGCGGGGGTCGTCCTCATCACTTCGTTCTGGGGAAAGGGACGGGGATCTGAGGTGTTGTCGGACACGACGGTCCTGATCGTGTTGGATGTCCCTCGAGCGGTGTGCTCGTTGGTCCGTCCTTCTGTGCCTGTCTTCAGAATGTCTTCTTTCTTGCCGTAAGGGGCCGTGGTTGCGCCCTCTGGTTTCAATGATCGGTTCCCTCTCCAAGGGGGGTCGCCTCCCCGGTTGTCGGGGTGAAGGGCTTCAGGAGGTGTCTCTGTATTGTCTCCGCGGGGGAGATGGGAGACGTACCTCTGTCCTTCGAGGAGGTGGGGTCTGGGGCCTCTTGTGTCTCCTCGCGGGTCTTCTGTCGTCCTCCAACGCCCTCAATCTTCCCCTCTGGGAAAAGATTAGGTAGTTGGTTTGATTGATTGGCGCGAACAGTGCTCTGGTCGTGGCATCTGCCCCAGCGGGGACATGGACTTCCTAGAATTAGGCAGCTAGATAGTTTAGGGGAGTTGTATTGTCTTTTTTGAGTGGAGGGGGGACTGAAGAAGATGAGGTCGTGGTTCTGTCGCGGTGGCCTGAGGGCCCGGGGACGACGCCCCCGGGGAGTGTATTATGGTCGGGGTTACCGGCGTTGTCGGGGATTCCGTTTTTGTCCGTGAGGTTGTTGTTGGCATCGACGACGCGGACGTTCTGGTCTTCCTGAGTCTGGTCAGCCATGACGGTGGAAGATGGTTTTTAGCTTTGGTCTTTGAGAGTTTGTAAGACGGGAAGTTAGTTTCCCACAGACGGTGCCACTGATCTTACTGGATCAGACTTGGACCGTCACAGCTGGCTCGAACTGGGCTTGAGAGAGATGGGGGTACCTGCAAGACACTTCGATGCTAAAATGAGAGACAGAATGGGCAGGCAAAAAGTGTGTACGCGTGTGATAGATGAATACCTGACCCTCTTGGAACATAGGGTATTTATAGCCCCAGCGCTGGGCCAAGGTCCCCTCATTGGGCTGACCAGAACTGGCCCAATGAAGAAACTGCCAAGTTCTACGTGTGTAGTGGGGACCCGAACGTGGTCCCCTTCCTGGGTGGTGCTTTGCGAAGAATGAGGAAAGACGAAGGCGCGGTCTTTCCGGAGCTTTGAAGATTCCACAATGGTCATAGTGGACAGAATCTGCCCTACGGGGAGGGTGCTCGAGCTGGAGCACCCTTGGTCGGAGATGTTGCTCGTCGAGGGCAACGGCGAGCGTAGCAGATGTAGTATGTGGTCGGGCACGTTTTGATGATGTGCTGATTGTGGTCATTCCCCGAGAAGCTGCTTGAATCTGGGCCTTTATGCGCACTTTGGGTCAAAGTGGACCCAGTCCAGAACACTTTTCTTCCTTATTTCTACTTAAAAGAATGAAATGTCTATATTGGTTTGACCTATGACAAGCATCACAAGCTCATATCTTCCTTCCATCAAAATGAAAATTTAAAATTACCGGGTAATGTGGTGTGATGCTCCACTGTCTAACATCCATTTGCATTTACCATATTTGTTGTTGCCAAAAAGACACATGGAACTTGGACCATGGTTCACCATAGTTTAAAAAAATGAAGCTTTCATGCATTCAAGACACTTAATTTGGTTCCCATCAATAACTTGTTCCATGAACCGCAGACATGTATGTCTATTTCTTTAGGTATCAGATTGTCAAACAGGTAGTATCAGTATGTCTTGAATATGAAATAACATTGTTTTTGTAATCTAAACTTTTTAGTCGGTAACAACTGATCTTGTTTTATTTATTTTATCATTAACTTATTTTTAACACCCTAACTAGTCGAAAAAATCAGATCCGTCTTGTAATCCAATTGTTTCACAATCGTCACATTCCGTCCTTATATCATCACTATTTTTCTGTTTGGAAGAATGAAAACCAGAACTTGTTTGTTGCTTCACTTCCCTTATTTTATCTGCATTGATCCTCAATTCTTCCCTTAATACGTAATTGAAAGTTTCTTTAAGGGAAGGAAGTGGATCAATATTTAAAATGGTTCTTTTGATGTCAGCATAAAGATATCCATCAAGACCACTAAGAAATTGATGAACGAGACTGCCTTCTTCTCTCTGCATAGTCTGTTTAGCAGCTTCACATTTCCATTCAAGAAGTGACTGTTCTTCACTTAGCTCATCGGCAAGACGTTTAAACCTGTTGTAATATTCAGTTACAGTCATCTTAGATTCTTGCTGAAGTAAACTCAGAGTTCTCCATAATTGGTGGATACGCTGTGCGTTGGTTTCAGCGAATCTTTCTTCCACGTCTAGCCAAATGTCTTTCCTTGTTGCAGCATGTGATTGTGATATACTGGATGTATTTATGGAGTTGATGATCCATGTGGTGTCCATAGAGTCAGCTTTCTCGCAAAAATATTTTTTTTCAGATGACTCGATTGGTTTCTCAATTGTTTCATCCTCAAAGGCTAATTCGGATGGATTATGATGATAAAGTGAAGACGATGTTGTTGCTTCTGCCTCTGATTTGGAGGAATTATTCTTCTCCGCGTCTGAATCTGAACCTGCTTTCAATGCCATGTAAATGTATGAGAAATCTTGTGAAAGAGAGATGTAAGATGAATCTTCTATATTAATGTATCGCTAGAGACGAGTTTTTTTAAGAAAAAGGTGAATAATGGTATCTGAATATGAAACGTCACAACACAAAGCATCAACACTATCACCGCAATATGAAAAGTCACAACACAAAACATCAACATTATCACCGCAATATGAAAAGTCACAACACAAAACATCAACATTATCGCTGTCCTGGTTTTCTAATACAATCATGTCTCGAGTACAATTTGAAGTAAAATCGTAGTCTGAATATCAAATATCCAACATCACCACCTCTGTCAAATCAAATCATACGAATCATAACAACAACAAAAATACAAATCCAGAAGAAAAAAGAAAGATCTCAAAAACAAGTGGACCCACAAGAGAAAACCTGATGAGGCAACCTTAAAGCTTCAGATTTAGCAAAGCAAGTATCATCAAGAACTTGACTGGTGCACCACCTGCATTTGGAGTTCTGTGAGCACTTTGACTTCAACACCAAATCTCTACAGTTGACAACGACGGGTCTTTCGTGGGTCGAAAAGGGTCGTCGAAATGAAGCATCTTCAGCCACCACAGCATGAAAGGGTTGAAAGAAAAAGAGAAAGATGAAACAGAAGAGTGAGTTGGAGATGGAGAACACCATGGATGATTCCAAACTCAAAGGTTTTAGCTTTGGAAAATTGATATACTTTTTTTTATTAATTGACAATTTCTTTACCCATTTTAGAAAAATTTTGAAATTTGAGTTTTGTAACTTCAACTAGAAAATTAGGGCTGTTTGAAAGAGTTCTAGTTTTTAGTTTTTAAAATTCTCTTTTAAATGTTATTTTTTAAAACTGTTTTTGAAACAAAAATAGTAGAAGAAAAGTTGTTTGGCAGAGTAGTTTTTGGAATTTTTTTTAGTGATCAGCTTTTGAAATTTTTTTTTATTTTAAATAATTATATTTTGAAGAAAATTACGCAAATAACAATATTTTAGAAAATCTCAGAAAGGAGGAGTTAATCCAATTGGCGCATACACTTGATCATTTGTCCTAAGCACCATCTCACTTGGCGCATGCTCTCATTTTTCGTCAAGTGAGATGGCACATACACTCTAAAAATGAGAGGATGCGCCATCTCACTTGGCGCGTAGGGTAAAATGTATTTTTTTATTTATAAATAAATCCCTTGTTTCCCGTCATTCTTCACACTTTCTCGCACTGTGTTCTTATTTTTTCTCTGTTATTTGCGTCATGACATCTTCCATGATTTTTACCAGAGATTGTTACGTTATTTGACCTAATTTTTGGTTGGAGGAAGTCAAAATAGACGGAGACGTAATGTTGATGATGCATGGGACAAATGAAATTGTTTTAACGGTTGTAATTTCTTAGACGTTTTATCATGTTTTAATTTGTTGTTTGCGTAAGGTTTGTTGTAACAAATGCTCTTAATGAAAAGCAGTTAGAAATTTAAAAAAAATAAGATGTTTTGCATACAATTTTTATGTTGTTGAGCTAGTAGTCCGAGTTGGACAATTTTTTCGATTATATCTGACCTGACGACTCTAACTTATCAAATGAATCCATTTTTTTGATGAGTATATGCCTATGCCACAATGACATGAGACCAAAATATTATATATTATTATAAATCATTATATATATTTAATTTTCTTTTAGAAAAATATAAATAATAAATTTGTTGTAGTATGTTTTTAAACTTGAAGTGAGGAAAAGGTACGGTCCAACGGAGGATGTTTAGATGGATGTTGGTAATGATCACGGAGTGGTTGACGGTCTATAGCTCACAAGTATTAAATTGGGCCAGTTTAATTCTCGAATTCGTTATTGAAAAGTTCTGTTTTAAATTCAAATTTAATCTTTAGAATTTTGAGCAGTATAAATATGATTTTCACTAATTTATTAGAATGATTAGCATAAGATATAAAAATCCTAGTCAGAAATAAAAGTGAAAATTTCTAAAAATTATATTCTTGAGAACACTTGATAAAAAAAAATAGTTTATTTTTAATATTCAAAAAACGATTCTTAGAAATTTTTTAAAATATAATGAATCAAAAAATTTCTTTCTCTATAATAGATTAAATTAATCAAATTAAATAAATTGATTTTTTATGTTCTCGTTTTTTTATATTTTTATTGCTTAAGATAATTTGATTGATTTCCAATATTCTTTGTTCTTAGTGCCATGGAAATTTTCAACAAAATTAATATTATAATTAGAATTTTTCGTGGCAGAATTAAGAACTAAATCAAACAAGTCTTTAATGTCGTTTTATTATATTTAAGCGTCTCTTAAATAATTTTAATTTAGGTATTTTTAATGTATTTTTTAGTCAATAAATAACTTTATATAATTTTTGTGCTTGAAAACTTTATTATATTTTTTCAATTTTTTTTCTTATTTCACCTATTACATTTATGGTAGGTGAATGATGATTTTTTTATTTATTTTTATTTTTTTTATGTTGAGTGGAATACTTTAGAATTTATTGTACTGATTGAAATATTTATTTTTATGTTGAGTGGAGTATTTTAGAATTTATTATATTGATTAGAATATTTATTTTTATATTGAGTAAGTATTTTAGAATTTATTTTTAGAATTTATTTCACTGATTGAAATATTTATGTTGGTTAGGTAGGGCTGACAATGAATTAAATTAACTTAATTTAATTTGATATTTAAATTGTTGAATTAAGATTATGAATAAAATGAATTGAATATGAGTAAAAATCAAATTTCTTAATTAAATGAATTGAATTTGAATGTGAATTATAGATAGTTTAACTCATTAGATTTATGAATCAATTCGATTATATATGATAAGAATTATATTGACTCTAAAAGTAAGTTTAAAAGATCTACTCCAGATCTTAGCACTACATTTTCTTTTAAACTAATGATATTAATTAATCATTTATATTTTTAGATGGGCAAAATATTTCTAAAAATACTTATAAAAATAAAATCAACACCATATAAATAATTATTTTAAAGAAAATAATAAATAAAATCAACAGATAACTAATGTTTTCTAAGAAAATAATTTTAAATTCGTAAAACAAGTGAATTGAACCTAAAGAGATGAACTAGTGAGTTGAACTGAGTTGTTCGTGAATTTATAATTAGTCGAATTTGAACTTAAAAAAAATTTGAGTCAAATTCGAACTGAGTCTTGGGCTGAACCAAATTTTAACGAGTCAAACCGAGTTGAAGCGAATTCAACTCAATTCGACTCGTTTCCAACTCTATGGTGGAGTATTTCAGAAAAATTTGTTATACTGATTAAAATATTTATTTTTATGTTGAGTGGAGTATTTTATAATTTATTATATTGATTGAAATATCTTTTTGTCTGATAATAAAATAATGTTATTTTTTTCATCTAACAATTTTTTTTATAATAGATTCAAAAATATCTAGCAATAAAACATCTAACATAAAGACTTTTGAATCTATAATTAGTCATTTCAATCAGTATGATAATGAATGTGTTTCATAGCTCTATGCTCGTTTAGCACAATACACTAATAATTTTTTAACATCAAATTAAAATATAATTTTGTTGAAAGAAAATTACTTTATACAATGTCCCTAAAGTTTTGATGATAACAAAGTATTTAAAGAACAATTGGGTGTACTAATGTTTGTTCAAGTATGTAGGAACGTTGAGTAAAATTTGTGATAGAAACTAAGTTCTAACACTGAAAATTGAACATTAAAGAGAAGTTGATAGAACTAGAATCTGAAGGATCAGAATCTGAGTCCTGACTATGAAGAGGTCAACTTCTAAAGACCAGACTCTGAAGAAAGTCAACCTCTGAAGATTCAGACTCTGAAGACTCACACTCTAAGGCTGGTCAAGAAGACTCTGAAGAGGTCAACTTCTAAAGACCAGACTTTGAAGAAAGTCAACCTCTGAAGATCCATACTCTGAAGACTCAAATTCTGAAGTCAGTCAAAGCGCCAAGATCAAGAAACTCTGATAGGTCACTATCAGACTCGGAGCAATTTGTCTTCTTCTGATAACGTGAATATTCAAGTTCAAAGAGAACAAAGATGGAACAAATAATTCCTTTTGGAGTAAAAGGATTTCAAATGACTATTGCAAAGGTTTAACCATTTGAAGTAACATTCCAATGTCTTTGATCAAGCTCTCCAAGACTCTCTTATGCAAGTTCTTCAACAACTCTTTATGTCTCCATATATAAGGAGCCGAATAATAGAAGAATAACAACGAACCATTTATCGGAGTTCACACCTCCATTGATGCACAAGAATTGAAGAAGATGAAGATGAAAGAAGAGAGAAAAGAGCGAGAAAATGTAACTAACTTTCAAATCTCAAAATCAGAATTTTGTTACAAATGCAACAACTATGAGTTTATATACTAACACCCAAATTCAAATGCAAACCAAATGTAAGCTTAAATGAAATGCAAATGTAACTACAATTCTGAATTTGAATTACAACTAATTAATTCATATTTAGCCAATTAAAAATCAACAACACCAATTCCATCACTCAAATTGATGAAGTGTTCAGTCTTGATAGCCTTGGTCAGCACATCTATGCATTGCTTCTGAGTGCTACAGTGAACAACTTCAAGCACTCCATTATGAAATTGATTTCGCAGAAAATGATACTTAGTATCTATATGGTTTCTTATCTCATGTATCTTTAGGATCTTGACAAGGTTTATTGTTGACTTGTTATCAATCATCAGCTTGACTAGTTTGCTCACCTTGAACTTTAGTTCTTGTAGAAAATTCATCAAATAAATAGCTTGACACAAAGATAATGCTCTAGCAATGTATTTAGCTTCACAAATTTACAATGAAACCACTAGTTGCTTCTTGGAACACCAATAAATTGGAGCACCTAGATACATAAATATGTAACATGTAGTGCTTCTTTTGTCAACTTTGTCTCCACACCAATCAAAATCTGAATAGCATATCAGCTCAACAACCTCTAACTATCTAGATGGAAACATAATTTCATGCTTCAGAGTCCCATTTACATACCTGGGTATTCTGATAGCAGCTTAATAATGTGACCACTTTGGTTTACTCATAAACCTACTCACCATTCCATCTGCATAACATATGTCAGGTCTGGTATTACACAGATATCTCAAAGAGCCAACCAACTGTTTGAAGGTTGTATCATCTACTTCCTCACCATCTGGATCAGAGTCTAGCTTATGGTTTGTTTCTTTAGGTGTGACTGCATTGTTGTACCCCAAAATTTTCTCTCTCATTTTATTCAAGACATACTCATAGAGGTCCCCAAATGCTCAAGGTTGACTAAGAATTGACCAGACAAATTCTCCTCCTAAGCAATAGACTTCCAACTAGGGTTTCACTTTTAAAAAATAAGTTTGGGTTTCAAAGGCCTCAAGTAATTTCCATGCTTCCTAGTATGTCCTCAAGAAAATCCATGCCAAGTTTCATGTCTTGCATCACAAGTTTGCTCAGTCAATGGCTCAAATGTTTGAAAATCAACTGTATTGGTCAAAAAGTCAATTGTGGTCAATATACAGTCAGAATTAAAGATTTTTGGTCAACCTCAATATTTTTCAGTTATATTCATCATTTGATCAAGGGTTGATCATGATTCCTTAAGGAAAGT